ATATACAGTTTATGCCATAGTTTGAAAAGTAAGTTTCAAATCAAGGTCCACTTTCCATATTTTTGTGTCTTTAAAGCACTATGGATTTAAAATGAAATCCTCTACTGACACTGAACAGACACTGCTAACTGAGCAGATTCCAATAGCAAAGCATATTTTGATATTTAAAGCTGACATTCTTTTGAAATTAGTATACTTTTCAAATCTGAAAGTCCACATTGTCAGAGCAGGAGAACGTGCAGCAGCAGATTAATATTTTGGGGCCAGGTTACACATACAAAAACAAAACTCTGGCTCCTGTTTAGCTCCAGTCACTCTGAGCAAGGAGGTGAATGAAACATTTGTCTCCTATGTTGAAGCAAATCCCAGCAAGGTTTCGTGTAAAAACCTTAATCGTGATATGTGCTTCATATTCACGTGTGTGTGACTGTGCCCTTAAGAGTGAAAAAGGTAGGCAGACTAGTCATTTCATGAAAGTTGTGGTGAGTGCAAAAGTGAATAATGATGTTAGTTAGTAAAATGAAGAAATTGCTGTAAAAGGTCTTTACAGAGTTGTCAGGAAGCAACATGCTCTCAGTTTCTTTGTCCTTCTCTCGCTCCTTGTGTTTGCCACCACCTACTGAAGCGATGGAAATCCCCAGTTTCCAAAAAACAGAGCTTTTCTTTTCAGAGATCAGTGCTTTGTCTCATCGACTCTTCAAGAATGTACTCCCTTATCCCTCAGCACATGCTGTCTGTCACTCATTCATGCTCCCACTCATTTCAACACGCCATACACTGACCCACGTCTGTCTCTCTCTCTCTCTCTCTCTCTCTCTCTCTCTCTCTCTCTCTCTGTGTGTATAAACCTCAACTTCCCCTCAGCAGCTGAACAGCAGCAAGATAGACTTCCATGATAGCTGTTATGTAAGCCCCGCTGCTGCTCTCTGACCCACCACAGCAGCCACCCAGAGGTCTCGAGGAATGGCCGCAGCTGTCACTTTCACCGCTCTCTGACAGACCCCTGCCATATTTTGACTTTTTGCGTGCCAACTCTGTGGCCTGGATGCTGTGTATCTAGAGCGAGCATGAAAAAGCTGGAGTGACTGCTCGCCCATTAGCAGAGGTTATCTCACTCTGCCAGAAATAGAAACATGATTAAAAACAAAAAGGGAGAAAAGGAGTCCAGCCTCCCAGCCTCGTCGTCAGGCCTGATTATATCACCACTGCATGTTTATGTTTCCTTCATGTGCACGTCTTTGATTGACAGACAGTATGAGAGGTTACGAGGGGTCAGATGGAGATGAGGTCTTTCTCTGGTGATGTAATACACTTTGCTGAGGATGGGGCTGTGTAACCCATACATGGAGTGTTATATAAGGGAATGTTTCTATGCAGGGCGAGCCTGGTGGTCTGTCGATCAGAGTGAGTGTGCGAATGTGCTTTCTAACCCCTCCTGACCAATGAATGCTTGTTTAGCTACACATTTCTACATTGCTGTTCTCCCCACGACTTATACTTCTATTTCATCCTCTTTACTTTCACTTTCTCAGCCATGCCTTTTCTGGTCTCCACCTCTGCCCGTGTGCAGTTTCTCCCGCTGCCACTCCTACCACTACCCCCTGCCCAGTTACCTCAGATAGACTCCTCTTCATCTTTGTTTATCCTCCTGGCTCTCATCCCAGTGGCCAGGATAAGCTGGGCCGTGCTGTACGTCTTCTCCCTCAACAGGGGGTGCTGCTGATGCAGCACGCCGGCTCTGTCCCACTTTCTTTAACTTAATGCTGCATGATTCTTGGGCTCCCGCCAGCTCTCAGACAGCAGTTACATAAGAGGCAACAATTTTCTCTTTTTCTTTTCTTCTCTGTTTTTCCTGGAATTTTAAACTCTCCACTGACCTTCAGTGGTAATTGGCAAATAAAAGTGCAGCAGAGACTTCTTCCAGGAGACAGTGGCATTGGTGCACCTCGATCTAGGCAACAGAGGGTAGACGGGGTGGAGGGTGAACTGTGGTGTGTGTGTGTGTGTGTGTGTGTGTGTGTGTGTGTG